GCACTTCAATGTTTGGTCTATATTTTAAAGCATGTTATTCTGGTATTGTTTTCTACTCCTCTACTTAAAGTCAAACATTTATCTTTGTTCATAATTAACAAACATCGGTACACTTAGCATGCTGATTAAAATTATAACTACTTTGGAGCACAGTGTTACAGTCCAATGTGCAATTAACACATCAAGCTTTGTGATAACAAAAGAAATTGTAGTTTTAAAATAGAATATTTAAATCAACATACTTCCAACAGAAAAGCTTTTGTAGCTTCATCAGTTACATCTTCAATTGTGACCTCCACCACATCAGACTTTGTTGTCCCAATCAGATGCTGGTAGAGTGTCTTGGACAGGAAGGCAGGCCCTGGACCACCATGTACCAATGATGTGGCAATCATTCTGCCAGCAAGGAAATATTCATCCTCTCTTGCAGCTGGTAATGGATTTATTTAGTTAGTTATGCTAAAATAATGCTTTAAATGATATGCCTTTTTATTTTAATAAACAATTAATCATCCAAGCTTAACTTCAGAATGTATTAATTTAATTTTATAGTCAGATGGTATAAATTTCTCACCAGCGCTGTCAAATGTAAGAAATTTGCTGTCCTCAGGTCCATCAAAGATTCGTCGTGATCTAAGGCATTTCATTAATAATGTCAAAAATTCACATTTAGGACCACCATTATCCATTCCATCTTCACGCTGTCCTGCATCATCGCTGAACTTCACAAGTATATCATCAGTTGGGTTGTAAGACACACGTCTAAAGCCCCGAGCTGCTCCATCCCAAACATTTGCCCTGTTTATATTAAATCTGCTGACAGATGTTTTTATTGTCTTAGACGCCAGCTCTTCAAGTACTTCTGCAGCAGTCAGGCCATTTGTACTAGAACATAAAAAAATTATTAAATATCACATAAAATGAGGATGTTATTACTCACTTTTAGCATATTTACATTCTCACATTTAAATGTATACTTACCTTTGTGTTTCACGCTCATCCTTTTCGATGAGAACTTCTTTGTCTGAGTCACTATCAATTACAATCGGTGCATAAACACTTGTGTATGTGCTGCAATGAAAAACATTTAGTGGGCAAAGTAGAACATTTCTTAAAATCTAAAGTTAACTAAGATTTTATTGGTCTAGTGTCTCAATACACAAATTTCTGTGTCCAAAACATACCTGTAGCAGGGACCTTGAGTCTAAATATCAAAAATATATGAACAGTTAATATAATTTATGTTTGTAGCCTGTATGATAATTATTAATGACATTTTTCAGAGTCTTACTTCAAAAGAAGTTTGCAAGTTTGACCACCCTGTAAAGAATTTAAATAATTTCAGAATTTACAATATAATACATAATAATGTCTTTTGGCTCCTCCCTATTCAGGGTCGCCACACTGTATCCTCCACAATACAAAACTTACCTATTTGTTGAAGGTGCTGTTTCCGGCGTGCTGTGATTATCTGGAAAATCCCATACCTGATAAGTAGTAAAATAAGCTTAACAGCACTTTTTAAAACTTTAAACTTTTCTTGATTATATTGGTGTATACAAACACAGACACACACACACACAAA